CTTTCTTCCATTTTGGTTCTTTTTCGCTTGGTTCTCCTCAATTCGCTACATTCATAACTTAGTCCTGCAAAACATAAATTGCATAGAATTAAGCTATATTCCAACATTTTAATCAACAATTGCTCATATTTTGACAGTAAAATAAGTATGTAAAAACACACTTATCAGGTAGATAATATAGCAATTCCTGGACCCTGTAAGAAACTTTTAAGTCACCAATTTTAACACTAATTCAAATTAAACAAATAGAACCACCTCAAACCCATTGACCGCATAGTCTTTTCTAGAATACCATTGTTCATTGAATGATCTTAAAAAATGCAAGTTATGGGAATACTGATCTAACCCCGCAGGTGCAGCTTAATACTATTTAAAATATGTGCAGCAAAACCAATCGAGAAACAAAAATATGATAAAGATAGTCGCTTGACCTGCTTACAGAAAATGACATCAGAAAATACAAATGCTGGTTAATTTGAAAATAGTGATAAAAATTCTCATGTGACAGAATTAGCAAGCTTAGAACTGCCAGTTCAGCATCCACAACTACTTTTAGTTTACTTGAAAATGAAAGGTTCATAGGGCTCCAAGAAACTTTAATCAGTTTCCATTCACCTAGAAAACTCTTCTGCTTAATAATAAGCCCATGTTTGAGCCACATTTTCATTTGGATTCTCATTCTTGTACTCATTTTCAACCACATATTCTACAATAAAATCATATTTTCCGTTACATCAATAACTTTTCCTTCTTTTTCAACCACATATTCACCATCACATCACGAAAAAAAAATCAATTCTTTCTATTTTAATGTACATCAGACACACTCTAAACCCACTTGTCTGTTACATTTTCAATAATGTGCTTATGCACGCTCAAAAAAAAAAAAAAACAGATGGAACNACATTTTCAATAATGTGCTTATGCACGCTCAAAAAAAAAAAAAAAACAGATGGAACACAGAAGAATCAAGATTTTTTTCCAATTTCCAATTATTTATTCTTTTTTTTTCTTTTCTACTCATTTTTCTTTGGCAGGATTGGGGATTTATAGTCAAGGATTTCAAAGAAAACACAAAAGTTGGAAACTTTATTCTAATTTTTTAATGGTTTAAGAACTAAGTATAGCATCGATACTCCGCTAGTTCTCTTTATTCATTGCCTTATCATCACATTCTTATCTGAAAAAAAAAATAAAAAAAATACAAACATTAAATTCCTTCAAACATCTTCAAAAGAATCAAAACCCACAAAACGAGCACCACCTATATTAAGCAAGAAAGCCCCAAAATTTTCAATCAGAAGAGAAATTATATTTTACCTGCCAGTTTGCTTTAGTATATCAAGCATATTGGTCTGGAAGACATGATCCACAGCCTCCACGCTAACTCCTGTCCCACTCTCTGGCATTGCGAAAACATTCACCACTCGAACTGTATATTAATCCACAAACTCCCGTAGCATAACTGCATAAGCCCCATCACTTCCATAGGCGCCACTGCCCTTCCTATCATAATAATTATATACACACATCAAATAAACCTTAATTCTATCAATACACGCAATAAAACTTTACAAAAATGTATAAAAAGTGAAAAATATTTCATATCGACATGCACATGTGTTTGCATATGTATCCGCACATCAAATAAACCGTATTCCAACAATACACGCAATAAATAACTCAGACAATACGTTACAGGAGAATCAGGTCTAACTATCGCATTTTGATAATATGCATCAGCACATTATTGATTCGAGATTAATGAAACAATAGGTTAAGTGACATTGTAAATTTCAACCACACTTTTCCCTCCGATATTGCCAAGACACCTTATTTTCTTATTTTATAGTTTGTTAGTTTATTTACTGCATTTAAATCCATGTCTTTAAATGTCTGTGTTTATTTTTGTCGTTAGAATTAAAATCGATTAGAGTCGAGTAATCGAAAGTATACATTTCTCGTGGGATCGACAATCCGGACTCTTTAGGCCCACTTTATTACTTGAACGCGACCCGTGTGCTTGCGACATAGATTTTAGCGAACAGAAGCAAAACAAAATATGAAATGCATGCACCAGACAAACTAATGATAGTCATCGTGTTTAGACTATCAAAATTGTATTTGACAAGAATTGTGATAACTAACATGAACTTGACGTGATTGATTTCAAAATATTTATTACCATGTCAACATGAGATTAGTGCTCCCATTTTTTGTGACTTGATTATGTTTGGTTGTGATTTGATACTAGTTAATTCTTGTCACAAGTTACGTACAAAAACAAAAACAAGGACTTGCCAAATTTAATTTAGGTTGTATTTTTTTATATATGGAAAAAAATATTTTAAGATTCACTAATTTCATAATTTATATGTAATTTAATACTATATTAATATTAAACTATTAAAATTTATTGAATAACCAGATTTTTTAAATAAAATATTCTCAAATTTTCAAAGTAAACGCGTTTTCCATTTTTATGTTTTGAGAAACAGTTTTTCAGAATGACAAAAAGAACACATTGTCAAAAATTTCAAAACAGGCACTCAAAACACAAAACACAAAACGAATTCAAAACTCAAAACATAAAACTGAAATACGAAGAGAACGGCCCCTAAGAATTTTCGAGTGGCGAGACACGGACAGTACCGGATTTAAAAAATCTCCATTTATTATCTCATTTAATTAATTATTTCATATAATATTATCTATTTTTATGTACAATTTCAATTGGAAATGTAAATATAAAATAAAAAGTTTTTAGATGAGATTAGAAAATTCAGGACAAGATCATGTTCCCTATCCCGCCTTGTTTACCATTCGAGTAGGTCGAGGTGAGAAATTTTACCATCTCTATTCAATGTTTTTTAAGGGAAAATTGCAGCAGCGATTTTCAATCTTTTCAATTTTTATAGACTTTACCTTAATTTTCATTTTTGAACCAACAGAGGTTTTTAATTTTTCATAAATATGCAGTTAAGATCCATCAGGAACCAAAGTAATTGACCATAGATTTGAAGAATCTGGGATGGATAAGGAGATTTAGCGCAATAGTACCATTAGTTTGGTGTATGTCCTCTGAGTTTGTGATAGAAGTATTTGGGTTGTGGACTGCAAACAGAGGTAGACAAGTAGCAGTAGTGGTGATGGTTCTTTCCCCACATCTAGCTTGTCGCTATAGTTGGAGGTGGTTCTCATATCTAGAAATGCATTCAGCCTCTTTTGTCTCCACCTAAACTTATTTAAGTTTCAATTTCTACAAATTCATTAAGGCAAGGTGGTGGTGGTGGTGGTGGTGAGGTTCTAGGTTGAGATGGATCTGTTTTTCCAAATCAGACAATTCGATTTTAATTTTGATTTTTATTTCGGGTTCCATTTAGCAGTGGAAAAGATGGCCGCAAACGTCATGGTGACTGTGGATTTGGTGGTGATGGCGCCCGATGACGACGGTGGGTGACGGTGGGTAGACTATTTTGGTTTTAGGTAGGGGTGAGGTTTGGATGGGATGGGGTAAGAGTGGTAGATGATGATAATTTTTTATTTAATTATTTTAATTATTTTTATGGAAAGATATAAAGTTATCATTTTACCCTTATAGAATTAATTAATAATGCAGTCAAAATTATTTTTTTGGTCAACTAACGAAAAAGTGGACAGTTTTCGTCAGGATGGCCCTCATATGCATATTTATGAAATGTTAAGGACCTTCGCTAACAGTCCCATCCCAACAAATCTTGCAATATTAAATTCACATTGCGTCACATCATAGAAGTTTTAAATAAAAAAATCGCATATTTTATTATTTTAATTAACATATATCACCATAATCTTCATTTTACCATTTTCATTTTTATAATGTTGATCAAGTGGAAAATCAATTAAATTATGAACGTTTTGAGCTAGGGAGACACAATTAAACTAACAAAAAAAAGTTGTAAAAAACATAAAAACATTTGATATCTTATTACAATTGTTCTCTAATCTTTCACATACTTTGATAACGTTCCATAATTACATCACATTCAATATTGCTAAATACATCATTATCAATATATGCAATCAAACTATCATTCAACCACTAATTTCTGATTCGATAAAACTTCATAATTGTTCAATTTTATAAATGCAAAAATATTTCATATATTAGCATTTTCATCCAATTACCAATTTTCCCCCACCAATAAATAATTAGCACAAAACAACGGCCCATTAAAAAAAAGGAAAAATGTATACAAATACACATTTGTTATTAAGGGGAGGGGTGGCGTCGAAATTGCAGTAGCATATGAGGTCGGTGATGGGATTGATAAACATCCATTTTAGTAAACGAACTAGAGAAGGTTTGATAGGCAAATGAATTGAAGTGAAAAAGGTGAGGAGAACATATCATGTGATCTGTTGCTCCAGTGTCAATGATCCAAGGTGAGTGACTAGTGAAAGAAGAAGCAGCATGACATAGATGGGCAAACTGATTACCTGATGTAGAAGCACCTGAAGTAGAAGCAGTATTTACTGCAGCATTACGATTGATGGTAGAGGTAGATGGGCTATTTGCAAGTGTAAGCGGATTCTGAAATTGCTCTTAAGTGAAAATCATATTTGGGACTGCTGAATTTTGTGCCACAGAAGAAGCAACATGAGCATTAGGTGTTTGTGGATTGAAAGCACTTCCAAATTGTGTTGGAAGAGATATTTTCCCCCTAAGACCTCTCCATCCTGGCGGATAGCCTATGACTTGGAAGCATTTGTCAACAAGACGACCATGATAACCACAATGAGAACAAAGATCATCAAATTTTCCTTTGAATTTGAAACCATTAAAAGACTTGGAGTGTTGTGCAGCTTCCATGGCATGGGAGTCAAAGGGAATGCCAACTGCATTGGTCAAAGAATGCTGGCTTTCTTCTTGCAACAACAAAGAAAAGACCTTGCTCATAGATGGTCGTCGAGAAGACATTAGCAAATGACTTCGTAAGGCTGAGTAAGAATCGTGTAATCCAATCCAGAACTTCATCACATAGTCTGCTTGTTGGCAGTCAGCAAGATTCTTTAGAATATTACAATCACAAGTATCTAAAATTCCACAGCGACATGTAGGAAGAGGACAATAGCTAATTTACTCATCCCGAATAGTCTTGAAATCACTAAAGTACTCAGTGATAGATTTCAATCCTTGGCAAATAGAACTCGGAGACTTCTCCAAGGTAAATACACGAGGGCCATCACTATGAAGATATCGAACTTGAAGTTCATCCTAGATGTCAGGGGCATTGGTAAAATAAAGGAGGCTGCCACGAATTTCTTTTGCAATGGAATTCGTAAGCCATGATAACACAAGATTGTTTGCTCGTAGCCAAGCAACCTGAAGGAGAGCATCATCAGAACCGGGATGTGTTAAGCTCCCATCAAGGAAAGCAATTCTGATTGAGCGACTCCAAGCAACATAATTTTTACCAGTGAAGATTTCAGAAACCAGGAGAGCACCAGGATTGTCACTGGGATGAAGATAGTAGGGGCTTGAAGAATCATCAAAAGGATTTGCCATGTGTTTAATGAGGATCAGAAAAGAAGGCAGTAGAAATGAAAATGCTCTGATACCATGTAAAATTCCTTAATCTGGAATTTAGAAAGCAAAGAAAACTGGAAGAAATCTTGAGAGAAATTCAATCTCTTGATTTTACAACGCATTTGCTGTAACATAAATAGAGCAAAGAAAAGAAACTTTCTAACAAACTAACCAACTGAATTTTTACAAAGCAGTACAATGTAGACACATGTGTTAACTAACAAAACTAACAAACCAACAAAAACTAATTCAGCTTCAATTCTTCCAGCTCACTTCTAGTTGCTTTGTTTCCAGTTCATTTGTTTGAACAAACATGGTTTCTTTCCTTTGCTTCTTGAGCCTTCAATTCCAAGGTTTCAATGTGAGATTGTAGATTCCATCATTCCAACAGGATGTGCAAGCTAAGTGATATGTCTCAAGATGTGCGGGAAAGGTTTGAACTAAGTTGTGCACTCTAATTAATCCCAGTCGCAAATGATTTTGTGATAGTGAAACTCCATCATAATACGGACATGTGCGGAGGAAATGATATGATTTTGCATTGTGTGATATTCTTGGTTGAAAATCGCTTGAGGCCGCCACGAAGATCATGTATGGATCATAATGACGTGATACATCATTTGAGTGATCTTTCGAAATGTATGAATATGAATAAAAAAGTCCATATTTACTAGATAGGGGAGTAGCAGAGTTTATAAAGAAATTAAGATTATCTATCATGTTAATTAATTAATTTACTTTTTTAAGGTTTTAGGGTTTGTCCTAATATGTGGGAATTGGTTAGAGTTTGTTTCAACACTGCTTATCTTTGTTCTTGAATCTAGGCATGATTCTTTGTTGTCTTGAACTTGGTCTAAAGTTATTTAAATTAAGACATGCACACACAACATCAGTTTTAGAAGACATCTACATAACGCCATCTTCATGTTTTCTTGAACTTATAGACTCGACTTTACGTTAGAATTATCTTGATATAGATTGTTCTGGGGGTATCAGAATGGACGAGTTAAAATTGTACTGTAGGCTGGCCTGGTCATTTGGCAAGTCATGCTAGCCTTCACCTTTGAGGCCTGGTGGCCTGCAAGGCAGACATGCAGGCCTTTACGAAAAGGCCTCGAGTAGCTGGAGAACATAAAAAGAATTCTTTAGTTTGGCAACATTCTAAAATGAATATATAAAGTTATAAATGTTGACGGAGAAGAAATTATTGCGAACAATTTTGCAATTACTATAAAATCATTTAAGTTGGAGATCTAGTAGTAGCACTGGCGACCCGATTAGGTATGCGCTGAAATGTGCAAAGGCACACGGTGATCTGGAGGCTACGCAGATACGCATTGTGTGTATTCACGACCCGTCCCAAAGAAATGTCTTCTTTTATAGTCGGGTTAGCATTACAAATAGTGCGAAGATTTTTCGTATATATTGTGCCAGATCATGAACCAACATAAATATGGTTGAACACAAAGTGGTGAGAGACATGTTCTATCCATGGCTACTTTCATTATTAAATAATCCTCCTACTTTATACCTTATAGATTACAATTTGCAGAACACATAAAAGAAAAAAGAGAGAGAGAAAGCAAAAGTTCTCACTACATAATGCATTATTAGTTCAAAACAACATGCCCACCATTCATATTCAATATTCCATGAATCAATAATAAAAAATTGAAAAGAAGATACTCAATTTTGCCTCAATCATCTGTTCATTTTCTCTTTGTTGCGTGTTTAGCATGTTGGACTGGATATAATTATAGAAAATAACGAAGAAAGATATTTGTGTACTGTATTGTCATTTTCTACGTAGTGCATATTCTATGCCGTGATAAATACTAAATATGAAGGTAATTTGGTGAAATGGTTGTCACATGCTTCCCAAGCCAACCTATTGCGGGCCCGTTTGGATATGTTTCAGAAATTTAAAAGGCTTCTTTCAATTTTTCGGGTTCACTCTTATCTTTCTATTTTGGTAATATTGAAAAAGAAATGATACAAAATAGTAATTTGGACCCCTAATAATTAGATCAACTCCTTGGCATAAGATTTTTGAATGGGTAATTATAGTACCACTACACAATTTATTAAGTGCATCAATCGTCAGCCAAAGATTACAATTCAGTCGACAACAGTAAATTAATCTTTCATCCCAATCAAGAAATTTACAGCAAAGGTTAGCTGCAGTAATTTTGTATCCCAAATCATAGAAAGAAAAACAACAAAAAGTAAATTGCAATCAAAATATAAATAAAACCCAGGAAAATCTACAAACCTATTGAATCAAATGATCTAATTGAAATCGAATTAAAATTGAAAAACTAGCCGTTATTGTTGACTTTTATTAGACGAGTGGGACCCAATAACGATTATATTTTCAATTTTAATTGGATTTAAAGCCCTGCTAAACATGCTGTAAATAGGACAGAAAGGGTTGAGAAAAATGATGAGTAATATTGGGAGCATGAGTACATCACAAATTATTATTTTTGTTTTTCATTTTTCATTTTTATTGTATTAGAAGTATAATTGTAAATTTGTTGTGGTATATTTATTGAAAATATATTTTAATTGTGGTGTAATTATAACGTGGTGGTAATATAATTACCCTTTTTGAATTTATTGGAATTTTCATCTATGCATCTCCCATATCGACATGATGGCTTTGAGTCTTTGGAGAAAAAAAGAAAAAGACAAACCTCATAAGGTTGTGTTTGGATTTTAAGTTATTTTCATTGTGTTAAATTATTTATCAATTGCTTTTAAGTTTTAAGTGTTTACTTCCTTTTGTTTTTGACTAAGTTTTCCTTGCCATTAATCCTTGGCTTAAGTTTCTTCACCCAGAGACTTTTGTGTCCATTGACAACTGGAATAAGGCCAAAGTTCTCCATTTGGAAAACGCCATCAAAAGTTGAAGAAAAAAGTAATATATAATAATCAAGCAATAACAAGAACAACAACAAGAAGAAGAAGGAGAAGGAGAAGAGTCGAATAGTGTAAAGTTAAAAAGATATAGTTTTTCTCATCTAATTCTTCTATAAATTTAAGCACATGTTTCAAATGACCGAGCAGCAGATCATAGGAAAATACGGGCAATGCCCTTTTGGCCTTAATTTGTATCTCTTCCTAATCCTCTCTCTTCAACAATGGCTGAAAAAATATGCCTTCTCTAAGGTATATTTTTAAGAGTGATTTTTTGTGTATTTTCTCCATTTTCTGCTCTGTGTTTTTATGTCAATATCAGTGATGAAATTTCGTGGGGTTTAATTTTTTAAAATAGACTTTGACCCTTTGAAGTTTTTGTGAAGTAGATGAATCAAATGAAGTTTTTCTTACTCTTGGATTTTTCCAAGCACCTCTCTCTCTGACCATTTCTTTCTCCTAATATTTCTAACTGTACACATAAACAAAGAAGATGAAAAAATCAAAACCCAATTCTAATTTCTCTTGTTTCATCATTTTTCTTTTCCGCCTTATGGAGATTCTGAGATGGAAACCACAGGTTAGATTTATTTCTGATATTTTCAAGATAATTTTACTTCAAATGCTGATTCCAAATTTATTGAGAACGAGGCTTAGATTCGATAATTTTTTGCTTACAGGACGCATTGGTGGCAAAGGCACCTAAAAGGAATCCGCTGATATTAAGAATGGTGGTCTTACTTTTTGCCATGGTTTGTGGACTGTACATATTTACATTCTGTATAAGGCAAACAAATAGAAACAATGATCCTCTAAAAATTCAAGTTATTGATCGAAGAAGAAACTGGCATTGTAGAACTGCTCAAATACAAGAATGGGACATTCCTTATATACATTTCCCAGAACCTGAAACCTTTAGCAGGTAAAACTTTCAGATTTTTACTTTTTTTGCTTATGATTCAATTTATATTGATTGAAAAGATATTCGGTTTGAATGAATTTTATCAGGCATGAATGTGCTTGCAATCCCGTCCGATTCTTCGTGATCGTATCGATGCAGAGATCTGGAAGTGGATGGTTTGAAACATTGTTGAATAGTCACATAAATTTAAGCTCTAATGGTGAAATTATGGGGGCACAAGACACAAGGAGAAATGTTTCTATGATTTTAAAGACACTGGACCAAGTTTACAATCTTGATTGGTTGAGTAGTGCATCCAAGAATGAGTGCACTGCTGCTGTTGGATTCAAATGGATGCTAAATCAGGTACAATACATTGATTTATTAGTGAGGAAAAAATTGCTTTTTTTGTTACTGTAAAGTTGATTATTGTGTGAACTGTTTGAAGGGATTGATGCTGCATCATGAAGCAATAACAGACTACTTCAACAGAAGAGGTGTCTATGTAATATTTCTCTTCAGAAGGAACCTTCTTCGAAGATTGGTTTCCGTGCTTGCTAATGTATTCGACAAGAACAGTAAACCTTTAAACGGAACGCACAAATCACACGTGCATTCTCAACACGAGGTCCTCCGTCCTCTCACTCTCTCCCTTGTTCCAACATTCGTTTTGAGCATAAATTTCACTTGTGTCATAATTTACATGCAGGCTCAAGTACTAGCAAAATACAAGCCTACTCTTAATGCCACAGTACTAGTATCCCACCTTAGGGCAGCAGATCAGACAGTAGCAAAAGCACTGGAATACTTCAAAAGCACTCGACATATTGTTCTCTATTACGAGGATATAGTTAGGAACAGCACTGTAAGAATAATTTCTGTATTTACTTATAATTATTTTCCTTGTTTTTCTCTAATGAAGTCATTTTTTGAGCAGAAACTAGAAGAAGTTCAAGAATTTCTAAACTTGCCTCGAAGAAACCTTACAAGCCTTCAAGTTAGGATTCACAGTGGCCCTCTGGCTAAACAAATCGAGAACTGGGAGGTTGTCCGGGAGACGCTTAAGGGGACGTCCTACGAAAATTTCCTACATGCAGACCACAAATTGTAGTTGGAATGAAGTTGGAGTAATGTAAATATACGGTCTTGACTCTTTCTTTAGAAGAGGGCCATGACAATTTGATCAAAGGGAAAGAGATTACATTCTGCAATTTTTATATTCTTTGTTGGTTGCATTGTGGTCTTTACGAACTAAAGGATCAAGAAATTAAATTTTATGGAAGGGCTAATTTCATGTTAAATCAAAAATTATCGTTCTTTAGGTGCTTTTTTAATTACTTCTGATTATACATAGTTTTTATCCAAACATTTTATGGAATCTAATTGTAATTAAACCGATAATAAACATGCGCCAAGTTGTTCAGATTGTGAAGTGTCTTTAATGAGATATATATCGTTTTATTTTCTTATATTTAAAATTCTATGACATGTACCCAGTGTAGCATAAAATTAATCATGCTCTTTCCAAAGCTAATAAATACCCTTCCATCCCTGCAGCCACCAAACCAGCACCACCACAGCCAAAGCCACCGCCGACTTCAAATAATACTATCTAAGCAGAAGCTGCTTATGATAGCAATTTAGGTATCAAGTGGTGTTAAGCAAATGAAAATTAAAACCCACCAAATCCATATGAATTCGTTTTCCATGAAAACAAAGAAAATGTAGCTTAAAGTGATTGTACATTGGAATTTGATTTCAATTTCCACGTCCTCGGATGTGAAAATGTCACAATCAAACAGGGCCGAATAGAAATGAAAAGCTGCTGGCTAAGGATGTCTTAAATAGAGACTAACATATAATGAATCGTGCTTTCTTTAAATCCTGTAACTGTACACTTTCTTTTTTCTAAATGCACCGAAGCATATAAAGTAACAAATCAAGACTAGTTTGATCAATGAGTGACTGATCCGTTAACTGTTGCAGATTCAGATTTTTGTGTTTGTTCAATAACAAAGTGGTCAACAATCCTCACAGTCTTTACAGGATCCTGCTGTGGAGAAACCGACCGCCATTTGCTAGGAAACCGTCTGAGATAACTAAGGCTATGTGGCTGTTTCGACTCCCCATCCCAACTAGGATCCAGCTTCCATTCCTTTGGAACCTGCATAGCCACACGCAAGAAAATTAGCTCGACAAAATGAAGATGGGAATAAGAAGTGGAAGTAATAAGCATCTTCACTCATCCGTTGAAAAGAGCAATCACAACGACAACATGGAAGATATGAAAGTGTAAAAAACAAACACAAATTAGACATCATGATCAGGATATTCGAACTCCATGATTGTGCTCAAGTCCCACTTGTCACCAAGTGATGGTAAAGCTTCTAAGTTAAAGGGCAGTAGATAATCTGTCAACCCTGATTATCGCCCCTGTATTGAAATGCCAAAATAGTAAATTATGTGGAGTACGAAATGGATACTTCTTTGCTGCACTTGATTTTTTCTCCTAGTTGTCGATATTAAACACTGCAATATATTGATCACATCCCACTTGTGACAGCTGGAATGTGACAAATATGCACATGTCGGATCACGTTAAGTCGTAGGTCTGAAGTGAAAGAGACAATTATTACTCCAGATACAAGGCCTCACTCGATTAAAGAAAAGGGCAAATGGAGAAAACCCTAAAATATTGACAAGACGGAGGACCTCAAAAGTTTTCCAATCAATAAATTGACCAATCAGGAAATTTAGGACCTCTTTCCCTCTTGAACAATGCAATTAAATTGCATTTGAATTTTGCAAACATTTCAATATTCACCACATGCATCAGAATACTAGCCACATGCAAATACCCCTCTTATGGAAATTGCAACAAGAACTGGAAGAGGAATTGACGCAGTCCTGATCAGAAAATCAGATTAAAAGACTGAAATAGCAGGTACAAAATCATGCAGGAGCATTACCTTATCTACTGCAAGGGTGAAAACTTCAAGATCTCCTTTGCTGTTGATATGAAATCGTGTAAATGCCTTGTAGTTAGCAATTCGGAGTGATGAAAAGGCTTCATCAAAGTGTATGTGAAGCCAATTAATGCAAATGTAAAGGTAGCTTCCAAAAATTAACGAGACAATGGGAGTTGAGAAAACCCAAAAGTAAAGGAAGACAGAAGCATAATATATCACAGCCCCTCCACGGGAGAGCGAGTCCATTCCATTCTTGCAAATATTGTTCCTAGTGACAGCCATGACCTGAAATCATATGAATGAAACTCAGAAGAAATGATGAAGAGAAGCAGGAAAACAAGAAACGATTATCACGGAGCATTTTCACCTCAGGAACATCAAATGCGGACATGAGATATTTGATGCATGCTGGATAAAGGCCAAATGTCCATTGCTCCATACGTGCCCGGAGGCCTGTTGGATCAGGAAAATGCTGGCTTTCCACCAACCGATACCACTGATATAAAGTATGATAACCTGAGATGATACCTTAGATCACTTAGGCAAACATCTAATTTGTCAATGAAGCATCAATAGGAGAAACACAGGCTAGACTGTGGTAGTAATAAGTCAAGGCCACAAAGCTTCACAAATTGTTGATTAAGATAGAAAGGAAATAAAACCCAGTCAATCTCAGAGAAGGAGAGAGCATTTGTGGAACCCAATTGAAAGAAACTTAGCCCTTGTTTGGGCTCCATTAATTTGATAATACATTTTTCTCTATTATTTTGAACCACATTCTCCAATAAAATAAAAATTATATGTAAATCCAAAACTTTTCCTTTGTTTTTAACACGTTCTTAAAAAAAATCACTATTACAAAATACATTTTTCTCAAAAATCTAATTATAATGGAGCTCAAACAGGGGCTTAATATATTCTGGCGCCAATGTCTTGCATGCATTTGGACCAACAATCTTAACTGCACATATGGAAGAAAATATTTGCAGCCTGTTTCACTCAATTATGACCAAAATGTCACCGATATAATTTCAATCAATTAGATTAAAAACATGTGTATCTGAGAAGTTAAATAATAATACATATTTGCTGATCAAGTTCAACATTTAAAAAAAAAAAAAAAAGTGAGCAAATAAAAAACATATATGTAGGTTATGTAGGATGCAATAGGACAATTGTAGGAGAAGATTAGTATAGATATAATTTAGCCCCTGTTTGGGCTCCATTTTTTTAAAATTACATTTTTCCCAAAACTCATTTTCAACCAAGCATTCTTTCATAAAATAATGTTATACGTAAAACCAAAACTTTTCCTTATTTTTTAACTATACATTCTCCAAAAATTAACTATTCCAAAGCACATTTCCCCCCCAAATCTCATTATAATGGAGTCCAAACTGGGGCTTAATATAGTTTCCAATTTTAACGCTTATTTTAGGAAACTTAATTAAATAATATATATACTAACATTCCATCAGCAGGCCTATCACCTGATGGAATTGTACAACAGCAAAAAACTAAATCCTCAAATCCAAAAAGCGTGGAATCAACTACACAGATCCTTTTTTGCCATCGTTGGAATCATTGGTAGATTTACTAGAATATCCAATGCAACTAGATCCTTCATAACCACAACACGTCACAGTAATTTTGGTCTACTTCTCCTGTCACTCTTGTAAAAATGAGCTTCTTTAGATTTATGCAGAACCCATCCAACATTTATCCTTCTCTTAATTTATTGTGTGCCACCTCTACTTGTTCGCATATATTCTTCTTACCTTATCCATCCTAACATGGATACACGTTCATCTCATCGTCCTATTTTTGCCACTTCATCCAGTGGATATACTGTCTTTAATATCTCAAAATTCAGTACTATAAAGCATAGCATCTCTAATAACTATATAAAAAACTACCATTTAGACCTTAGTTATATTATATAGAATTCCTGTATCACTTCTTTACTTCATCCAGCTCTTCCAAACTTATCGATTGCATCTTCTTTAACTACTTTTTCTTCGTTAATAATCAATCACAAATACTTGAAACAAACACTCTCTGGGACACAATCCTCTACAATAACCATTATTATCGTGCATATAATGTCACTCAAATAATATTTTTGTACTCTGTCCCCAATTTTACTTTACCTAAATCTTTTAGATCTCAAAATATTCTCCAAGTTTTAGATTACAGTTTAACCCCATCCTAGTCTAATTAACTAAAACTATCATAAAAAAATATACCAAGGAACCTCAACTTCTATATGTCTTGCAAAACCCATTCATGATTAAAGTGAATAGATGAGGACTTAAAGTAGAGCTGAAGCGCATGCCTACAATCAACTTACACGAGACTTTTCCATTGTAAATGTACTTAATAATATCTAATAGAAATCATTTTTTCTCTGTAGCACCCCCCATAGAACTTCTCTAGACATCCCATTAGTTCTAACTCAATAAAAACTATATGCAATTGTACAAGTTACATGAACATATTATTTAAACTTAGCAATAAAAAGAAACACACTATCACCTGAAGTTCCCAACAATTTGTGCCTGATACATGTCTCGACACCCAATTCCAGGAGCAACATGAGAACCAAGGCTGCAGACAGGTGTGCAGAAACATGAAGAATCCCAATCATTACTTTCCTCTTTCGAGACACTTTTGAAGGTACAAAAGTGAAAGCGGTAACTAACAATAAGAAAGCACCAGCAGAGGATACATATGAGTACCCCAGCATATAAAGGAAAGCATCCCATACTGTGCCGAAGAAGCTCTTTAAGTGACCTGAAAATGTATCATCCTGTAAGATGTGATCTAGCTTACACTAGAAGAAGAGGGAAACAAATTAGTCATTTGTTTGCGAACTTTCAGATCTTGATGCTCAATCAATCATGAGAAATGTGTGCCAAAGATCTAGGAAAATGTTTTACCTGTGGAAACATTGAAAAGGCCAAGACAAAATATATTATACCACCAATAAAATCAAACTGCCAATTTTTCTTTCGAAACTTTAATATATTTCCTAAAGCAATCTGCATCAAAATGGCCACAAAGTAACATCAAATATAGTAGAAATGAATAACATATGACGGAAAATATAAAGGTTCAGTTTATGTACCCTGCTCGAGTCTTCAAAAGAAGGATAAGCCTTGCTTTCGTAGGATGTCCCATGTAAATTGTTAAAGTTACTAAACACATGAGTAGGGTGCAAAAAAGCCCCACCACAACCATTAACAAGCAAATGTTGCACATATACTGGCTTGTCTGATGGAATATATGAATGACGCATGTAATGATGCAAGTCCCCAGCCATTCGAAGTTTACACCTCCCTCTTAAATGGTCACATATCAGGTGTGAGACATTCTTACCAGTCACATCATCCCAGTACCAATCAAGAAGCCAGTTAGGCTCATGGGTCATAATGATCACAGAATCATGTTCCCCAACCTGAGATACGGATGAAACACTACATACAGGATCGTGTCCAGTACCAATCAAGAAGCCAGTTAGGTTCATGGGTCATAATGATCACAGAATCATGTTCCCCAACCTGAGATACGGATGAAACACTTCATACAGGATCGTGTAAAACGAATAAGGAGCAGTGGAAGAGAAAAAGTAAAACAAAAGTGAGGGACTACAGAAGATGAAAACTGCATATAAATCTCTTATGGAAACATCATAGTTGCAGAGATGACAATGACTTGACATGTCGGGACCATAATGTGTCTTTTAGCGGCAACAAGTATTAGTTTAAAAGAAAATTAAGGTGCTTAAAAGTCCATTATGTTTTGTATAGTAATTGTTTCCCCTTTTGCTCAACAGTTAAATAGGATTACAGGAATATAATTGATGGGCAAAAATCTAAAGGAAGAAATCCAGCTGTTCGCATTTATATGAGACACTGTGATGCAAAACTAAAACCTACCATTCTTCCAGATTCTTTAACGTGCTAAAAACTAGAAATATGAAGACCTAAACCTTGATGATAGAAATGATACCTTTTCCTTTATCAGTTCTGAAAAGAACTTGAATTGGTATACATCAATGTCACAATGCAGAGCATGGTCAAGACCAAACACCCACCACCCTTTAGGAAGCTGAAGGGCAAAATAGCTTTTCTTCTGAGGCATAAACCATCCACCTAACCAGCTCTTGTGACAAATGTACCTCATAAATGTCTGAAGCCCATCAAACCAATCTGTAAAGCAGTAAAGATCAATTGAAATGCCAAAAAGTAAAATGGAGTAAAGCAATAAAATAGCAAAAAACTGAACTCGAGACAACTAAGCCATTGATAATGAACCAAAACCAACCATGATTTCCAGGAATGACAAAACACTGAGGCCCTTCATACTGCTTCAGATCTGCAACCCCACAAGGTAATTCTGGCTTGTTTACAGCTATATGATCCTCCTTATACCAGAATGGAGGCTGAAGAGCATATTCAAAAGGACGAAAAAGGCGCCTCTCATATGTAAATGCTGATGGATTAGGATAGCTATTAAAGAATAAGAAAAAATATTCAGGAATTGAGCAGCTCAGATTCCGTTCTTCATATTTATAAGCTATAAATTTTCAAAAGTTCAACTACTGCTAGAATATGTGTCCTTTATATTAACACTCGCAGATGTGAGGAATAGCATGTAACTTCTCTTAAAAAAAAGACACTAAGAAAAATATTTCATGCCTGTTAAAGCTATTCACACTTTTAACATACAACTCAAAACATATACATTTCTCATTCATAATACCTTGCAGTTGGGAGAGAGAAAACCACATTACCATGACATTATTACGCAAAAACATATACATAAGTTCTAAAGGCCTAACATAAGTTCACATAAATTATTTTAAAACATTCAAAAATTACACAATAAAATCAACTTGTCCTGCATGATGTCAATACACCAGACAAGTGAAGATTTATCTGCCTGGTAGAAAATTATACCAAAGTCAAAAAGTTCAAACACACATCTTCCATATTTAAACATGAATAAACATAATATTTCACCAAGACATCTACAGATAAATCCATATAACATCCATGAACATAAGAGGGTAATGGAGGAAATTATTTAATACATTAAGCAAAAGATGGAGTTTAGAACATTTGAATCCGCAATAGGTCCTGTGTCACCTTAGAGAAGAAGAAAAAGAAAATTAAATATTAAAAGCTATTGCATCGCAGGAGCTTTAGCTAGAGGAAGCAAGATCCTGATGACTTTCGAAGGTGAATGCTGGAACAGATAGTAGAGACAGAGATAAAGAGATGTGAAAAAAGCTTTATAAACCAACAAGTTTTACTGAAAAAGTCTTATCAAATTATGCAATAATAGGTTATATTGATTGTGCAGCAGTTTGAGGGGAAATTTAAAAATGTTAACCATCATCTGGCACCTAAGCATTAGGAGATGTTTTTGGTAGAT